GGAGGTTTAATTCGAGCAGATGGATTGTCTGCCAGGGACTGGAGAAGCCAGAGGCCCTCGCTGCCTCTTCCCCTCGGCTACGCTCCCTGCGCGACTCAGGGCCTTCCTCTGCGTGGAAGGTGAGGGGTTTCCCCGGTCGATGGAAACACCTGCTGTTGCCCTGGGAACAGACTCCTTGAGACCGACTTATTCTCCCAGTTAGTCTAGGAGCAAACTTTTTAAGGATCAGAAATCCTATTCTTCAGACCAACAGCAAACAAAAAGATCTTGCAAAAAAATGTACAGTCAATGCTTTCTCAACCCTGAAATATGCTTTCATTTTATGGGATGAAGGCCATGAAAAGAGTGGGAGTAAAAGACCTTCTGCATTTTCTTTCTTTTATGTTATAAACAGGGATGGAAAATGCGAAGCAAAACTTGCTGCAGTTTAGAACAAATGCTGGATCTTAAGTTAGGAACATTTTCTAGCAAGTTGCACCAAAGGATGTCTGCGTGGAAGTGCCCCTGGTTGGCACACATCAACAGTTTTTACAATCTATTTATTTTTTTTCCCAAACCAGCGGCTCCATGGCACCTAGGGAGCTTCCTGCAATGAGATGTGATTCAGGGAAGTGGTCCCCAGGGAAAGGTTTTTTGGCAGCTGGCAGGCTGCAACAGGCAAGCTACACTCCACAGGTACTGAGCCCTCCCCTCAGAGCTGCTGGCTTGCACCACTCAGCTATAATTCTTTTTGAGTCAGAGTTAACACGGGGCCAACAGTAACTGTACACACCTGGTTCAGTGCCTCTGAACATCCCTGCAGGGACACACTGCTGCCTGTGGAGTGCCTGTGATCAGTGCCTGCAGCTGTGGGAGGCCATAATTCTTCCATTTAAAGGGAGATGACAGCATCCTCAAGAGAAGGCCTAAGCAGAGGGTTAAAATGGATTTCTGGAGGCCTCCACGAGTTGAACGGATCTACCACCACAAAGTAGAGAAAGCGTGGGGCATGTAGGACCGGTGTTTCTCTGAGCTAGAGGGGCCTTGCAGAGCTCATCATCTCCATAGCACTGCTGCCTCGACACCCACAAGCCAGTCTTGTGTACAGAGGTGGCTAGCCAGACATCAGAGACATGTTCTGCTGCTAGAAACAATGCACATAGCCCTGCAACACTGCATGGCTCGGTCCGCTTTGCGCCCAACGCACCAAAAAGACCTGTCTTCTTTGCTGCCTCTTTAGCTGTGGCAATTGCCATTACTGCTCATTTCTGCACAAAGTACTCTGGAGAACCTGGGGCACTCTTAGGCTCATCGGGCATTGCTTGAGAACCCACTTGGTCAGTTTTTAGTGCAATCACAATTCCAGAAGGCTAGATCAGGAGTTAGCAGAGGCTAGCTTGTAAAGACAACATCATCTACAGCTTCCTGAAGAAGGGATGTGGAGAGGAGAGGATGCCGATCTCTGCTTCCTGGAATCCAGTGACAGGACAGGATGTGTGGGAATGGTTCAAAGCTGCATAAGGGGATGTTCAGTTTGACATTAGGAAATATTTCTTTACTGAGAGGATGGTTGAATGGAACAGGCTTCCTAGAGAGGTGATCAGTGTTTCAAGCCTGTCAGTGGTTAAGAGGCATTTGGACAATGCCCTTAATAACACGCTTCAACTGTTCAGCCCTGAAGTGGTCAGGCTGTTGGAGTAGAAGAACATTGTAGGTCCTAGTTTCCTTCCAGCTGACATTTCTAATCTAGTCTATACATCTACACAGAGCAGTGCCCACAGATCAAAATGGGCTTGGGCTGACTCCAAGTGTTCATTTTGTTGTTGACTTTGGGAACTGGAGGTGGGAAAAAAAGTCTGATGGCTAGCTTTACATAAAATTATTTGCTTCCTTCTTTGGAGCATCATACCTGAAGTCCCTTCTTCAGCCTCCCATCTCCCACAAGTGGATTCTGTGGCTTCTGGTATGGGTTACATGCTCAGACAGTATGAGACCACATGTTCAGCTTGCCTCGGCTGGAGCCCTGTGGGTTGAAGAGAGCTAGTGCTTTTCTCTTAAAAGGTGTAGCAGGGCCAGCTGCAAAGTCACTGTTAGCAGCTTGCAGCCTGTACCTGGCACTGCAGGCACAAAACAGCACAGAGAGGCAGCAGCACAGGCCCTTCCATACGGTGTCCCAACCCACTGTGGGCAATCCTGCCTGAGAGACAACATACTGGAATTCATCAAGGCCTATATCTGCATTCCCAGCTCCTCACAACCCTAAACATTAGCATTTTGTAGAGAGGCCCACCTGAAAGGCCTCACATCAGAATGCTCCTCAGTACCTGCATCACCAGTTCTCATGAATGCAAACTCCTCTGAATTTGCTCTGCAGAGTTCATGTGAAATGTATTTCAAACCACCATGTAAAGAAGTGCATTAATCTTGTAAATGCTGAAACATCTGTACTGAACACTATCTGGCCCACATGCTTATGTGCCTTATGTTGTGTCAAGGAAGACTTTATGACAGCTCTCAGCTGAGCAGGGCTACCTTCTGTCAACCAACCATTCAGACTAAGCTTACTGTGTTTCCAGCCTAGAAACTGCTCCATCATATTGCCATCCAGTAAGGTTTCTCAACTACCTATGAACACACAATTGAGATTATAATTTTCAAACCTCACTTTCAGCACTAAGAGAATTGTTTTTCATTTTAAGATGAACCTGCATGCTTCTGGAGAAGTCAGAAAACAGGCATTGTGGCTACTTTAAAAGAGCAGGAGGCCATACACTCCATCCATGCTTTTGCAAGCAACTCAACTTAGAGTGATTGGTCTCCCCATCTTTCTTTCAGCGGATATTTCTCCAGGATACAAGCAGCATTTGTTACTTCCCAGCCACTCAAGGAGTCCGGGCTGCTGCAGCACAGTCTATCTATATAGTAATTAAAGGAAAATGTCCGAGTCCACATGATTTGATATTTTATTTATTTTTTTCTGAAGGGTATTGTACACCAAATATCCCATTGGCAGGAAAGCGCATTCAATATGTTTAGAAGCCAAACAGTCACTTTAATTTTAACAAACACAGTTACAAAGTAAAAATAAACCACAAAATAATGAACCGCATGTTCATAACATACAAAAATGCTGCCTACTCAGTAGGTAACTACAACATTCCGACTCCTGAATATATATATATATATAAATATTTACATTTTTGTAACAAAAATAGACTTTGAGAGGTGTGGGGGTTTTTTTTTTTGCTTACATTCTGTCCCATGGGGCTTTCTCATGCACCCCTCCCCACCCATTCCCTGCTCTCCCTTACATTCTTTGAATAACATCCCTTTCACTTTAAGGCGAGATGCAAAGCATCCATTCACACAAATGCATGATGTCAGCAAGGCTTCACAAAAAGGCACCAAGACTTGTAACTTTAAAAACAAAACTTCTGCCACGTGTGAGTGTCTCATCAGGTGATATTTACATAGCATCACTCTAACATGCTCAAACACAGTAAGTGCTGTTCCAAAAAAGTCTGAAACTTATTACATCATTGTCACTGAAATAGAATTAACATTTACAAAACATGGCCCGGCAAACTCCAAATAATACAATATGGATATGCAAAGATTTTCCACACCAATAGTATCTAAAGGAAAGCAAAACCATGGCACATGTACAATTTACATCAGCTACATACTTAATCAAAAGTCCTTTCTTCCTAATAAAAGACTATTGTTTACGGGGAAAATTATACTGAACTTATAGCCACAGTCCATGCAAATCAAGTCATTCAACAGAGGTGGAAAACTTAAATGGCAGTTGTTTCAGGCAGCTGAAGTTTAAAGAAAAGTTAAATAGCCTTGCAACATACAGTGCTGGGGGAGTAATTAGAGACTCCATGTCTGATAATACCAATGGAAAAGGTGAATTTTCCTGTTCCAGAAGGTAATCTCAGCAAATCTCGATTGTCCTCGGAGAAAAGGCTGACGTCATGTCTGAAAGTGCTGAGGTCACCTGTGAGCTGAAATTGCTGGTGACCCCCGGGGATGAGAAGGAGGTGGCCACTTGGGTCTGAAAAGTGGCAGTGCCTGAGGGGTAAGTGGTTGCTATAGAAGGCGATGGGAACGTGGCGTGTGCAGGGGAGGGATAGGAAGAGGGAGCAGGGGAGGAATACGCTGTGCGCACTGGCGAGGGGTAAGTGGTAGCAATGGAGGAAGGGTAGGATGTAGTCACAGAGGCTGAGTAGGCAGGAACTGGGGAAGCAGTTGCGACTGGAGCTGCCTTTTCCACTTTCTTGTCCTTCTGCCTAAGGTGGATTTTCGTGTGTCTCTTCCTCTCGTCACTTCTGGCAAACTTTCTGCCACAAATGTCACAGGCAAATGGCTTCTCTCCTGTGTGCGTGCGGATGTGTGTAGTC